TAAAAAATAAATTATGAATATTGAAATGTATTTTATTTATCTATATATCTTTTGATATATACATGCTAGCGATACCCTGTATGCATATATTGGAATGTGTGTGTTGGGGTTTTAAAATTTGGGGGGAAAAGTGTGTTGAGTGTATGAAATTTGGGGGGAAAAATATGCTTCTCATAAATTTAAACACCTTTCTAATTTATTAAATACATATTTATCAATTATATATTATATATTTATATTTTTTCAAAAAAATAAAAAAATAAAGTAAAATTTAAAAAATATATTTTTTTTCTATCTTACCAAACACAAAAAAAAAATCAATCATTCCTACTTTTTATACCTTACCAAATACAAAAGAGAGAATAAATGATTCTTCCCTTGAATGATAGACAGTGTATCACTCCCACATTTCAATTTTCCATCATTCTATTTTTCTCTCTTTCCTATCAAATTGAACATAAGTGACATTAAAAGACAATGTCAAATAATATGCCATAGCACAAAGACCATTAATTAGGATAAATTTAGTCCGTATTATACCAAATTTGAATTGTAACTGTAAATTTTGATTTAATTCATTTACAGTAATTGATTATTAAAATACAAAATAAAATAAAATAAAATAATTTTATACTTGACACGTTTTTTTTATTTTGGCATCAATGTGTCATCTACCTGACTTTGTTATTTTCTGTTTATAGCTTCTTAGCACTTATGATTGCATGAAATATTACTTCTGAAGCTGCAGTGATCCATGCAGTTAATAAGGGTAATATTGAGGTTGGGAGCATGTCAGAACGCCATCCTCTCTGTTTTGCAGTTAGTCTTGTATCAAAATTCTTCCTTTATTTGTCTGGCGTTGCCAATGTTTGACCTAAATTTAAACTTAAATTTGAGTCAAAAATTTAATTTGATATCAACTCTTTCAATTAAAAAATTTTAATTTAATACCCAAATTTTTTTTAAAAAAAAATTCTATATTGTCCTAAAAGTAATTTTCTTTAAATTTTTTTTCCACTTCAATCAATTTTGCCCCGGCTCCATAGTTTCGAGGCTGGCTTAGATCTTTCTACCATTTTAGGAAACATTTCAAAATTCCAAAAATATCAATCAATCACCGAAGTTTTCCCTATTATCTCTTCTTCAAGGTCCTCGAACTGGGTCCATCAAACCCCATGGTTGTGAAGGGAAGAGTGGCCAGTTGATAGGGAGATGATTAGAGTTAGGGCTGGCGTTATGGTTATGGGCAGTGGTGCCAAAAGTTTGTGAAGGGAATGAGTAGTGGAGGAGTGGCGCGAGAGATGAAGGAGAAAGTTTTGGCAGGGAATCCTCCTTCTTTCTTGACAAATCGATGACATAAAGATAAAGAGAGAAAAGGGTTCAGTTTAGACTCAAAAAATTTGAGTAAAAGTTTGATGCTCTCTCAATTTGGGTCAAAGAAAATGTTTCTCTTGATTTAATGTAAGTTTGAGTTAAATAATGAAAAGAGTTTTGTGGTCATTTTCACTCAAATTTAAATTTGAGTTTAGCTTTGAGTAATAAGTGAAAATGACCTCAACAGAGGTAATCGGGTTCGTGTTATATCAATAAAATCTTGATTAATCTATGTTTGACTCAATTAATTTTATAATTAGGTTAGTATCATATCAAGTTTGGCAATCAATAATTAATGATTATAAATTACCTCAATAAAATTTATGATCAAAAAATATTATTTGATATAGTATCAAAATATTAAATTTTGGTAATCAACTTATCCATAATATTTTAGTATTTTCACAACCACTTCTAATATGAATAAATATTCAATATAATGGATATAACACGCTATTATAGTCACGTGGTGTCAACGATTAATAATCATAAATAAATAAATAAGAGAAGTGAGTCAGCACTATACACATGATAGTTATTAAATATAAAAATTAGGTTAATCCTACCCTACCAAAAAAAAATTACAGTACCATGCCACAATAACAAATTTTTTATAATTTTTAGAATCGATTACAAATTAACATAAAATTAATAACTTAACCCAAAAAAAATTGTAACTCAAATTTTCAAAAATTGTAATAAGAGCCGAAAAAATTATAATTTTTTGTTATAAATAAACTCAAACACTTGTATAGAAATATGCAAAAATTATAAAACTTGATGGTAGATATTTATTTGTTTTATTTTTTATTTTGTGCGGTAGCCTTCTCCTAAAAATTATTGTTTGGTTATAACATTTGACGAGATGCATTAATTCCATTTGAATAATTTTCTCTTATTTTCTGACACACACCGACCGACACATTTGCTTCCGAGTGTCTTCTGGTTGACTATATCGCCAACACACACCTTGATCAGTCGGTGTCCACGTGGGTAAATATCTGCCACGTCCTCATCTTAATGGGCCCAGACGTGGACATCCACGTCAGCTGTTTCTATGAAGCAGTTAAAGACAAAAAATGTCCACGTCATCCAATTACTGTACATGGACATGAACTGACAAGGTAACGTCGGTCGTCGCCTCACATTAACTTCGCCTGTTCCCTACCACGTGGCGTGGGTCCCCTGGATTTCTATCTTTTTCTCATGACGTGGCAGCATATAAATCATTCTCCTCGTTAATTGTCACAACAACCGCACAATATTTTTATCCTTTCTTCCTGTATTTGGGAGGAGAGAAGAAAAAAAAAAGAAAGATTGCATTTTAAATCCTTTAAAAAAGAAAAAAAAAATTCTCTAGGAAGAATAAAAAAGTCAAAAAAAAAATAATTTTTTTATTGATTTATATGTATAAAAAAATTAAAAGAAAAATATAACTTATTAAATTACATGATTGCTCTTATAATTTTATAAAATATCGAGTTAAAAATATTCTAAAGTGAATTGTGATAAATTCATGTATTGACCAACTTTTTCAGCTATTAAATTAAAAATGGTGGAGTGATTCACTTTCTATTCTATTTTTTTTTTTTTCTATTTTACTTTCGAATTTTTCATCTATCTATTTTCATCATTTCGATCTTTCCTCGTATCAAACAAAAGGTTAGGAGAGTTTATTTCGAACAACTATTCCAAATTAGTTTAATTAAAAAATTAGTCTTGCCAATTATTTCTTAATTGGATTTTTGAACATGATTTTTTCTTTTATTTTTAATTATATGTATTCGATTGTGTGATTTTTTAATTACCACATAATACTGTCACTTGATGCCTTATAAATATCAAAAAATTTATTCTACAACATAACCTGGTACATTTTTTTTGCTAATTTCTTGTCAGGTACATAAAACATTTTAGATTGATCTAGTTTTGCTAGAATAAATTAATGACTTGTTTGGTTTGATAAGAAATGGGGCGGATGGAAATTGAAATGGAAAGAAAGTGTATATATCCTTTGTTTGGTTCTAATGGAAAAAGGGATGGAATGGTAAAAAAAAAATGTGGAAACACACTCCACTCCGTCTGCCAATTTGTTTGCTCCCGGAATTAGAGAGAAAATGGGACGAAAATAGGAATTTAATCGGTCAAATTGGTGTAATTACATTTATGCCCTTATTACTTGCTATCTTTTTAAATGCGCTTCACAGTGTGCTATCCAGTAACCACATGGTTGAGTCTTTTTTTTTTTTAAAAGGCCACGTTTCAAAGCTTCTAAAAATGTTTCATATCACAGGTAGAATAAATTGAGTTGTGTAATTATTTTTCAATTATATCTTACGAAACGTGTTCTTTAAAAAATTTATTTGTTATAGAAAATATTTTTCATAACTAAGGGTATAATGGTAAATTAAATCTAAAAGTATTTTCTTTCTTTTCATTTTTTCTCTAATATTAAACAATAAAAAATTAATTCCTTCAATTTTTTATCCATCATATCTAATAAAAATGAGAAAAAAATATGTTTACTTCGTCAAATTAAAGATAAAAAGTCTAACCATTATACTTTTTTATCCTTTCAAATTTGCATTGCTGTTATTAAACCGACTGTTAAAAACGGCCCAAAATAAAAAAAAATCCCATCCCAAGCCCAATCCCAATCCCAATCCCAATCCCCTCCCCCCATATGCTGTTTGATTGAAGAGAATAATCAGATTATCCATTGCTAAGTCGGTGTCTCATTCATTTCCTAAATTTGTCAGCGTCCGGCTGATAAACTCTAATCATATAGTGCATAGAACACATTCATGAACATTTGATCTGATCAACCATGGAAATATTGAAAGATTGAGGTCATCAATCAATGGCTGGAACCTTGGCACATCACTCAGACCACTGAAAGATTGAGGCATATTGATGTGATTGCATTGTACAAAGAGTAAAACTTTTTGGTGGACTTTTGTAATATGATTATTAAATTTTTTACTAAATTTTTTGTTTTAAGTAAGGTAACACAATTTATATTATTAAATATTTAATAAATTTATTTACTAGATAATAAAAATAATACTACATCACCTATAATAAAAAATCTTGGTCAGTGCAATAGTATTGTTTGTGCAACATGTTAGCATTTATTTAACAGGAACAAAATGTGTGATTCTCATTAAAGACAGCTGACACCCTTTAATGGAGTGCGGAGCAAAGGAGATACACAAAAGAGTGAGCACTTTTCATACTTTCTATCATTTCCAACAACTTGCCTTCTTGGGTTATTAGGGGTGTTAATAGTTTTGCTTATTAACATGAATATAATACAAATTCAATATAAGTCATGATACAATCAATCAAAAAAAATAATTAATGAATCAGATTAGTATTAGACATAAACAATCCATCTCCCTAGAAAAAAATTTAATAAACAACAACGAGGTTGATAGTCCAATATCCTTTATCAAATTCCCCCAACTCTTTGTTATACTTGCGCTTTTCAGAGAAAATAAATGGTAGAAAATGATAGGAAAAGAAAATTCCAATATGATGCCATGTACAAGAAGTTATGGTGGGACCTTAGACCATGTATATATAAGAATATCTTTCCTTTGCAAATCACCATTCCCCAGCTTTAATGTATATCTAAGTTCTTCAGCCAAAAGGAGAAACCAGAAGGAAAATTCACATTCTCTTTCTTTCTTTAGCAATTCCAAATCCATCAACCTTGCCAGTATCTCATTCAGTCTCTTGTGCACAAGCTTGCTCATAATGAGGCCTTCTTTGCTAGTCTCTCTCCTACTTTTGTCCAGTCTCCTTCATGAGGCTCAAGGTATGCCATATTTCATATATTTATATATATGTGATGAATATATATATTTGGTCTCTTGAAATTGATATTTGATAGGATATTGATTCGTTTTCTGTTGTTTTTCTTAAGGTATACGCTTGGAAAAAGGATCTTTAGCAGCTGGGCAGCAGCAAATGATCCATGTAAGTACCTGTTATTTCTTGATTTTTATGATATCCTATGAACATATTTCTAATATTTTTAAAGTTCTATACAAATCTTTTCCAATTTCTAATGGGAAAATACATCTTAATGCAGCAGGAGGTGGGATTGACAACAAAAATAAAAGGTGTAGTTGAAGAGGTTGATCTATGCAAAGATGGACATTGTTCAGGTACCTTGAACACAGAAGCTTTTCTAGGGTAACCAAGGAATCCCATCACTGCTTACCTCCACAATCCCAAGCACCATTAATATTCTCTCTAGGATCATTTTTCACTTTCTTTATTTTTGAAAGTTTATTGATGGTCCACTAGGTTCAGAAAATTCAAGCCAGTGTCCATTTTGTAGGGCCGGCCCTGTTAGATTATCAAGTTCATTAGGATATTGTTTCAAGTATTTTCCAACACATCCAAAAAGCTTCACGAAGAACGTTGAAAATTAATGAATAGCTCATTCACTAGAAAACTGATTCTTGAATCCCTTTCACGCTCATGTCACTTCGAGATACTCAGAAGAAAAAATTGTAAAATTCGATCCAATTTATCGTAATCCATTAAATGGTATTTGCTTGTACGTAACTAATGTGTAATTCTGTTGTTCTTTTGATATAATAAATAATAACTGCTCCCATTGCTTTGGCAGAATATTCTGCAGAACCACATAAATATATATTTTCTTTGTTCCTATTTTCTTCTTTCCAGTTAACTTTGCACTATACTACATTTTTTATAATAAAGAACCGTGTCATAAGAAGTTGCATTATGTACTATAGAGCCCCATGTCATTTCTTAAGTATCGCTTTCTTCTATTCTTGTGCAGGAATGATAAGAAAACTTATGTCCAAAACCACCTCTATTTCTAGCACTACCACCAATTCAAAGGTAGGTTTTTCAAAGAACACCTAGTTTCTATATCGCCAGAAAATTACAGAAACCCCATATTTTACTTTTACTTTTTCATTTCCTCACATTGTTCTATGCTTCATTTACAGAATCACAAGAAAGAAGGAAAAGAAGAAAATCTCTCCATCAATTCATCGCCGGTTTCTGAGCGCTATCCGGACACTTTGGACATAGCAGGGATGGATTATTCTCCTGCAAGGAGAAAACCTCCAATACACAATTGAGATTGTTAGAGAAAAGCTAGCAAGTAAAAGAAATAGTTTTAGAGATGTGAAAGGGAATAGAAGTTAGGCAGCATTGCAGAAAATGCAGCAGTTTATTTAGGGTTAGAAAATTTTTGTATATACCATATTCTAGGATTATTCCTAGTAATAATTAGTCTTGTCTTTGTAACCTTTACGGTATTACAATGTAAGAATCACAATAACATCACTTAATTCTTCAAAGTTGTTAAAAACTCTGTGTTTGTATAAATCACTGGAAGAGGAACAACATCTTCGTGGCAAGATGACTTGCACATGAAACACATTCGTTCAGTTTGCAAACGCCACTGTGCAACATTGAACTAAACTAGAGAAAATCGATCATTTTAATAAATCAACGCAATAGATGATTATTCATTATAAAGATGATCATCTACTGAGTTGTATGAAACATGGACATGGTAACAATGGATAATGACATAGCCGTACGTTTAGCACATAAAAGGTTCTTCAAAGACGAAAATGCAATGCAAATTGTCAATTGATAGACTACACCCATATGTTGTGCAAGAAAATGGTTTGTGGTCATGTCTAGTCTACAAGACTAGCACCTATTGCAAGGTCGTGGAAAAAAAGTGGTAAACAACTGGCCCTTGTATCAGAGAGAGTAATGCTCTATGACTTGTACCGACGATGTATTGCTTGAAAAGCATCTTAGGCACACAACACTGAATAATTCAAGCAAACCCAGTTGAAGGAGGTTTCTACATCGAGATGGGTTGGTTCACTTAGTTGTGCCATAAGAAAATGTTGCTTTGGTTGTTCCACGATCTGATAGATGAATTACAACATACAAAAATGATGGGTTGATTTGACCTAAGCGTCTATCTTTTTTTTGTCGCTACGACTTATTTTTTTTAAAGATGGACAGTCTACTTTTAATTATTCAATTGAGTGTTTAGATTATGCAGCTTGGATAAATATCTATCATCACTCCAAGTTCGGTTTAGATGTAACTAATGAATTGGTGTCAAAGATCAAGCCCTATTACCATTGTTAAAACGAAAAAAAAAAAAAAA